TTGTGATGAATTTACTATAATGTTAGTACTATTCTGTATATTGACTTTGCGATAATATGTAGGTATTTTATCTTATCGAACTGACTTTACGTTTTAACTTTTATTTATAACGTATTGAAAAATACAATAAATATTTTGGAAAAAATGTTTTAATGAAATGTTTTTACACAAGTTGATGTTACACAATAAATCATCAAACAATTCTGTGGTGAAATGATAATTCATATTATTTATTTTATTTTTTATTGTTCTTGAAATTTACAAAGAATTTCTGCTTCGACAACTATGGATCTCTAGCGTTGGATTAATTTATATAATTAGAAAGAAAGAGAAAAAAAAATTTGTTAAGTTTAATATACAAAATAAATATGTAATGTTTTGGACATTTTGTGTCTTATAATTATGTACATGTCAAAATTGTTGTTGTTAACTTATAATAACTTTAATATTTGTGATTGTTTCAAGAAATGTATTGTTTTTATTTCGTTTTCAGGATTTGGACCTAGACTTTCTCCAATGTCGTGGCTTATGTTTAATTCTTTTCTGGTTTTTTGGTATTTTCTACATTCTTCGAATAAGTGTTTGATGGATTGTGAGGTGCCACATACTTGTGGGTCGTCTTTTGCCATCAAGTATCCGTGTGTCATTTTTGTGTGACCAATTCTGGCTCGATTTAGTTTTTTTTTTTCATTTGTGATAATTCTGTTTGGGTTTCTTTTCCATTTTTTCACTGTTTGTTTAATTTGGTTTAATTTTTTTGTTTGGTTGCTCCATATATTTTGCCAAAGGGAGGTTGTGATTTCTTTAATTTGTTTTCTAACATCTGAGTACTGAGCAAAGAGCAAAGTTAATATATTGTGCGTCTTTTGAGCGGGAGCTAGTTTAGCTTGTTTGTCTGCCTTTTCATTGCCATCAATTCCTATGTGTCCTGGTATCCATATAAGGATTATGATATTGTTCTTTCTTTTTGCTTCTTCAAGTCTGTTTTGGATTTGTATTGCTATATCACTAGGATTAAATTTGTTTTTTATACTAATGATGGAGCTTAACGAGTCACTTAGAATAATATATTTTTCATTTT